ATGAAGGTTTTAAAAGTGTACTGATAAATACATTAGGAAAATGAGCGAAAGACACTGAAATAAAATAAAAATTATTGTCCCAGTTATTATTATGACGTTGCTGTCTATACCACCGAATTTTGTAGCGAGATCCGCGACAAACGACGGCTCAGTAATAAAAATGTGAAGGATTGTCAATCAGATGTAGCGGTCCCCACGACATTTATTTAACTTTGATTAGGAATGACAGGAAAAAGGACAAGCAAAGACGCTGAAGGTCACCATCAAATGTGGCGGTCAAATGCAATTTATATTTGATGTAAAATAGCAAATAGCAAAAATACAAGTCAGAACGTAATGGTTCAAAACATAACATTTGAATTTATTTGTTTTGATGTACATGCATATAAGCTAAAGGTTTGATAGAGTTACGTCTCTTAGATTTGGGAAATATTTGTACCGGAGCTCACGAAGTTGAATTAATTATTAAACTGTAGTTTTAGAAGAATAAAGTTCCTGTTGCATGTTAGGAAATGTGAGTTGGAAAAGTTGGTAGAGTTCAGAAGAGTTAAGAGTTCGTACTTGCGTGAATGTTGGTAATGTTCTTTGACGTCTGACCGCAAGGTTAAGACGAGAGTTCTTAAAGGTCACATATGGGCAGCAAGGAAGGAGACGAAAGAGAAAATGGAGAGAGAAGGCTTACTCGTATTTTGCTTATATAAGGTGGCGTATCACGTAAAAGACTCCCAGCGAAAACGCGCGAAAAATCATTCCTCGCGTGCAGGCGATCGGATTGGTCGGAATTGACAAATCAGCAAGCTAGATTTGAGATTAGCCAATTAATGCTTGCCGTATGATCTGTACGTATGTATGTATGTGTGTCATGATGATGATAATCACTACAGCCTGGCAACCAATCGCTTCAGAATTCTACGTTGTCTGGAAGTGCAAATATTCTGGAAATGATTCGTACGACTTGAGCAAACGTAATTTAAGGTCTCGTTTAAAAAATGTTTAAAACGAAAAGCCATGCGGGGGACAAATATTTATTTTTGTAATAGTTACGATAATACCAGATACATTTAATCAATGGCGCATTTAGGTGTGTTGTCCTGGGTATGACGATAAACTATATCCGGCAGCAAAGCCTATGATTGGGGTGGGGGTGATGAGCATGAAGCCACCTCTTAATTGCTGTTGTTCACCCGGAGTGGTAGCACCTGTTAGGGTCACAGCTCTGGGCAAATAGATAATCCCCAAACTGTGGTCAAAAAATTATAAAAGTATAAAAATACTAGCAATATATATCTGAGGAAAAAATATTACCATCAATACATTTGACTGTCGACAAAACATTCTTTACAAAATTACATCAATGAAACATGATCTACAAACTGATTTCTTGCAAAGAATATATATTTTATTCATACGAACCTATCCGAAAAATCTTGCCTGCATTAAATAACCCATTGAGGTTGATATAGAATAAAACAAAATAAACCAAATCACGCAAAAACTTTAGTTGTGATGCAGGTAAAATGATCGACTCCCTGTACCACTCCAGTAAGTACCTGACTACTCGTGCTATCCTCTACCTTTTATAAGACCAGATCTGACCGAAAATGGAGTACTGTTGCCATCTAATTCCTTGTTGGAGATGAATCATTTTCCACCCCGCCAACCTCGCTCTCACAGGCGGAATGTCGTGCGTTTCTCACTGGACTATCGCTACTAACGTGGAAAATCCTTGGGCGAATTACATTCGTCGGTTTCGCCAGGTCCAACCTTCATGGCTAGGACCCGCCATGCAACTTACATAGTAGCAAACCACCCACATTCCCTCCGTATTCCATCGGACAGCTTCTTTCCGCGAACAACTGGCCTGTGGAACATATTCACAAGCGGATGTTTCCCCGATAACTACAATCTTAACGGTTAACTCTAGACTCGAACAGGTAATTTTCCCCTCTTAACCATATAAATTTTTCTTTAACGTACTGCAAATAATATAAATACAATAAAACATAGGGCAAAATGTAGCAGAGAATGGATTTTTTTCCATGATAAATGTCATGGATCCTTACCTATAACTATAGAATGAACTCTTCCTAACACTATGTATACTATGCCTCTCAAGAAAGAGGGTCGAATGAAGCCGAGCTTCTCGGCTTGACGGTCGAACTCTCTGCCTCTGCTCAGAGAGGAACCCAGACGAGGCTCCGCCGAAGGGCAGAGTCTCGTTCGGGGAGAAATGACCAACCCGATCTCGTTTATACGGGTTATACGGGCATTTTTTGGCCGAGCCTACGGGCTCGGGAAACCCACGTAAAAACTCGGCCTTGTGCCACATGCGACCCTCGTGGGGGTGGCTAGATACTGAATCAAGCCGAGCTTCTCGGCTTGACGGTCGAACAATCTGCCTCTGAGCAGAGAGGAACCCGGACAAGGCTCCGCCGAAGGGCAGTCTCGTTCGGGGAGGTTGACCAACCCGATCCCGTTTATACGTGTTCTACGGGCATTTTTTTGGCCGAGCCTACGGACTCGGGAAACCCACGTTAAACTCGGCCTTGTGCCACATGCAACCCTCTTGGGTGGGGGTGGTTAGATACCGAATCGAGTCGAGCCGATAGTAGTTCACTCCAAATAAGACTGACAGTCATACTAACACCTTCCACATCTTGTATTAATATTTCGTGTAATATACCTGCATTATTTCTACTCTTGTGTTCGTGTTGTTCTTCCTTGGTCCTAACCTGGACGATAACAATAAAAATGAAATTTCTTTCTAATATTCCTTTTTCCTTTTATACATCTTTGGTCAATTTTGGTTCATTGAATCTCAATGTTTTGTTTTAGTTTTTTATTTTTAGTTAATCCTTTCATTATTCTCTTCATTGCAAATATGTATAGTTGACCATAGGTGGGAATAAAGATTTAATCTCAACAAATATCTAAACGTTTTATTCTTGCGGATTTTAGCTTGATATTTAGAAATATACTATTAGGAAGGGAGAAAGGAAGGAAGTGCGAAACGAGATGAAGGAAGAAAGAAACGAAAAGGGAAAAATAACAGGGAGGGAGGGAGGAAGAAAGAAAGTGTTATATCTCGTACAAGATATAATAAACAAAGTAAACCCGAGTGTGGTTTTCAATAATAATTTTATAATCGGATGTAGGTATGTCAAAATACAGAAACAGTCAGGAGTAAGCTAACCGCAATGGTGTTAGTAAACGAAGACCTTCTTTTTGTCGCTCTCCTTACTGTTTCCTGTGGTCGTACTTTATCGGCCACCAGACCGGCCATTATCGTGAATGGGGAAGTTGGGTTATCTCATCACAACAAAAAGAAACGAGGGGTAGGAAGGAGGGGACCAAGAGGCTCGAACGAGCAGAAGAACGGAACAAGAGGAGTGAAAGAGCAGAAAGAAGGAAGGAATAAACGAGAGGAAGTTAAGAATGAAATGAAAAAATAAACGAAATGAAGGAAAGAAGAAATAAACGGTAAGAATGAAATGAAGGAAGGAAGGAAGAAATGAAAGAGAAGGTAGAAAGAATGAAATGAAGGAGAGGTAGGGTGAAATAAAGAAGTATAGAAGGATGAAATGCACAAGAGTTTGGAAGAAAAACTGGAGAAATCGGAGGAATATACGGAAAAAGTTATTTTCATTCCCTCCTGGTATAAATCCGTATAGACGCTAGGTAATTTTGAAAGTGTACACTTAATTTCCCAGGGAAGGACTTCGACACATGACTTTTCAAATCTGTGCAGCTGTCTCCATGGTAAAGTCACTTCTGATAGTTTCAACAAATTACTTCGCTCAAAGACACTGTTAACGAACAATCTGAGAGTAAATTCTTACATTTCGGCTGTTAATAAAGTTTCTCTTCATATTTTTACTAAATAGAAAGGCGAAAACGCAGGCTAACTCCACCCCCGTTATATGTGTTAATGTAATTTCATAACAAAAGATGATTAAAGCAGAAATTGATACGAAATTATTTTAAGAACACTTGTAAAGAAGTTCGGGTGAAACTTGCTGAACGGATATATCGATTCATATGTTATAGGAAAATGATCTAGTATTCGCATGTTCTTCTATAAACCATATATATTTATGGAGTTGGTTTATTTTTCCAGAAATGCGCAATTTATATATATATATATATAAATTGCGCATCCAGAAATGCGCAATTTATTTATTTATATATCTATCTATCTATATATATATATATATATATATATATATATATATATAAAATTGCGCATTTCTGGAAAAATAAACCAACTCCATAAATATATATGGTTTATAGAGGAACATGCGAACATACATTTATATATATATATATATATATATATATATATATATATGTAGAGGAGAGAGAGACTAATTTTATAACTTTTAATCAGTAGATATTCTGTAACGGTCAGCCAGAGTTGATTTATTGATTAGGCTGTTCAAATTGCTGCGACAGGCTATAATATTGGAATCAAAAGACAGTGAATAAGCCATCAAGTGGTATATTGGACACACGAATCGGAAGAGGCCAATGGGAGTTTATTTGAGTATATCTGTAAACACAAGGATTCATGTATATGAATCAATTTGGATAAGCGTAGATGGGTCTGTTACGTGATTCACTCAAAGTGCTTATCCGCATCTGCCTTTGTGCGTCGAAGATATTGATATATTAGCTATTAAGGTATAAAGAAGAAGGAAATGAAAAAGTAAAATGCAAATGGTGAGAAAGAAGTTATTGACAAAAAAAATGTTAATATGCCACAAATGAAAAAAAGGTAAAGAGGGGAAAAATATGTCGGAAAAGTGATATCAAGTAGAAAGAAAGAAAAATGGAGTAAACGAAAGAATGAAATGAAAGAAAATAAGAAGGAAAATTAAATCAAGGGAAAAATGCTCATGTTAGAAGGAAAAGATTCTTGGCCATTGCAAAAAGGAATGAAAACGTAACATACCGAAGAATAATTATTTGGTGATTTAAAAAAAAAAAAAACAGCCAAAAGCTTCGGCCATATCACGTCGAACCACCGGTACCCATACGATCATTGAAGTTAAGCAACGTTGAACCTGGGCAGTATTTAGATGGCTGACCACTTGCAAATACAAGATGCTGTAAATTTGGAGGTGCGTGTGGTGTAATGAATAATGACCCTGAATTGTTAATCGGAGAGCCGAGTTCCAATTTCAGTTGGGTTTGTTATATTCACATAACCTTGGGAAAGATATGAATCTATATCTTCTCCCCCAGCTATGGGTTAATTAATAATGTATCAAAAATATTATTACAATCTAATAATATTGTCTGGTTTTAAATTACCCGCAAAGCGTTTAGAAGCCGTATAAAATCAATTAATCAATAAAAAAAAATTAAAAAAACGAAGGAAGAAAACAAGGAATGGAAACTTAGCCATTGAATAGAGAAAGGTAAATCAGACAAATTTGGTCATCAAAAGAAGAAAAGAGTGGCAAAACAGAAAGAGAATAAGAAGAATGTATAGGAATGAAAAAAAAATGCTGACTGACAAAAATAACGTAAGATTTTTTAATACAAACCGGATCACTAAAGAAAACTTTTAAACCAACAAAATGTTATGTAATGTAGAAAGAAAGAAAAACAAAAAAGTAAAAGGATTGAAATCGAACAGCCAATGCTATTTGCATTTTGCCTTCAGTAAAGTTTAAATTGGGTTTATATATTTATCTGAATGGCAAAACTGTTCATATATCTGATTAAAAAAAAACCTCAGTTACATAAATGCATGAGTTTATATTCAAGATCGTAAAAATTTTATGAATTGAATTGCACAAATATTTGAGAGAAGGATAAGTTTCTTTAAATCTTTCAAAACAATACTCGTTTGAACATTGAAAGACTTATTTGGAAATTTGGATCAAACTGAGAATATCACAGTAACTTTTGGAGGGATATAATGATTTACCAAGCGTAGCTTAGATGTGGCACAAGTCCGAAAGCATGGGGAACCCAGTAAGGATCGAACTCACTACTCAGTCGTAATTGTTCTAGCGAAACAAGCTTGATAACCATTACACCACGTTGAGGTGCCCCTCTTTTGGCGAGATATATGAGACGAAAACAATATATAAACATTTATATATCAAGCACAATATATACTGGGGAAAATATATGACAAAGTGGAAAAGTTTTCGTGTGACGCGTTTTAATAATTTTGGACTGCGCCAATTTTTAGAAAAATCTATGAATATAATTTATCGAAAAATTTCACGAATTATTCAAAACTAAATATAAAATCAACTGTTTATGGTAAATTCAGTATAGTACTTGCAAATATTCGCATTTCCTTAGAAAATATGCAAATATTCGGTATGGAAGCGAATAATTCTGTCCGTAACTGCATGTGTGTGTGGTTGTATACATGAAATTGGTTCAGAAAATATCCAGGCATTGTAAATATCACAAGAACAGCTGCGCTCTTTTGATATACGGTAACGTGACAACCAGAGGTGACCTTACTTTGAATACGTAGTGAAATACTATCCCATGAGATTATTCAATCAACAATGAGATATTTAGCTCTGCAGCTCTAAATTCGCATATGCATGAAAGTTTGCTTGAAAGTGAAAAATATTCAGTTAATTAGGACGTTCTTGGTTGATATTTTAATAAACGAAGCCGTGTTAAAAAAAATGGTATTGACGCTTGAATTTTAACTTTGGGTCCATCAAAGGTAATCTACGTTCTGAAAAAGAAAAGTAGCGTTCCAGAGTGCAAGAAATTTCTTCCTAGAAATTCCAGTAAATGCTAGAAAAACATTTAACCATTTTTTTTTTTTTTTAAATAACTCGACAGTCCAATGATTACGGAACTCGGAACATCCACTTTACCTACCCCGCTCTGTATTATTTGGACTCCTGTTTTTTATTTGTTTTTGTTTTTTTTTGGGGGGGGGGGTCAAGATATAAATTCTCCATTTCATTTACACTATTTATATTGTTCGGACTGTTGTCCTCATCTTTGTTGTCATATTCACGATGTTTCGGTCGTTTTACGCTCCGGTCTTCTTCAGGTGATGGGAATTTCGAACCACCGGGGTAGATTTTTCTATTTCCACTTGCCTTGTCTCTTCCGGATATTTCAGCTATTTCCCTTTAGTAACTCGGCTCTTAAAGATTTTGCTCACCTCTGCTCTAACCAGGTATTGAACACTTTGGGTCAAATCACTTGATTACGTTAACCAACGCTTGTATCCACTGGGATATGTGTCCTTGAGCAAATCTGTGTATGACTTTGGGGGACTTATAAACCTAATGTCTCAGTAATTATTTTTTACCAATTTGGCACTCCGTATTACTGGTTCCCATATTGTATTCATGTCTATATTTGACCAACTTAGGAGATTTTTGTGGCCTAGCATACGCTCTGATTCCTTAAGTTTCCTTAGATCACCCGAAGAAGGCCGGAGCGTACAAGAGTTAAAACGTTGTGAATATGACAACAAAGATGAGGTCAACAGTCCTAAAAATGTAATAGTCACAATACCTCATCTCGGAAATATAAACAGATATCTAAATTCACTGTTTGAAAAGTGAAAGTTGTAGATTTCAAGTCGACATTAAGGAGAATGTGATGGAGTAG